GTGGGATGGGGTGGGGTTGTGAGGGAAGGGAGTCTTGAGGGATCGGAGGCACGGGGTCGCAGGGTGTCTGCACGTGAGTGAGGGAGTTGGGGTGGGGAAGGTTCCAGAGAAAGTACTGCTGCAGTGAGGTAGCCAGAAGCCACGGGCCAAGGCTCAAAGCGCGCTTTGTCTAGAGCGAATGGGGTGGGCGGTTCACTGCGCTCATGGCATGATCACCAAGCGTGATAAGTGGGGTGGTGGTGGCCGGGCGGGTGTTGCGGCTGACGCAGAGGCGCCATGGCCCACGAGACCGGCGTGTCGGGGTGGTCCCTGTTTGCCTTAGAGCGCAACCTGACGCGCCACCCGCCGCCGCCCGCCTGCTTTGGCGTCGCATGGGCCTCTCCCCCCCAGGGCGCGCTGTCCCCCGCGCTCATCTCTGCCCCCGAGGACGTCGCCCCCGGCGCAGTGGACTCCAACGGCCAGCCCGTTGATGCACTGCTGTACGCGGCCACCTGGGGGCTGCAGCCGCTGCTGCACAGCCCCAAGGACGCCGCCGCGCCAGACGCGTGGTGCGCAGTTTGGGGGGGGGTGGTCGGGGGGCAGCCCCTGTGTGTCTCTGAGCCGCTGTTGCTGGCATGACTGCTGCCATGGCTGCTGCTGCTGCTGCTACCATGGCTGCTGCTGCTGCTGCTGCTGCTACCATGGCTGCTGCTGCTGCTGCTGCTGCTGCTGCTGCTGCTGCTGCTGCTGCTGCTGCTGCTGCTGGCTGCTGCCGCGACGCAGCACGTGCGGTGCTGCGGGCGGGGTGATGCTGGGGTGGCGGCGAGTCGGTGGGCTGACCTGACGCACGCGACTTGTAGCATACATTTGCCCTCGCCGTCGTCCTCAACTCTCCCCCTCCCTGTTCTCATGGCAGGGCCAAGTTTGTGGCGGACGTGCGCACAGTGCTGGGCGCCCTGGCCACACAGCCCGCACAGGTGGCAGCCGGCGCCGGCAGCGGCCGCGGCGGCAGCGGACCCGGTGGCGACACCCGCGTTGGCGGCGCCGCTTCGATGGAGGTCGACGGCATGGGGGACGAGGACAGCGGCAGCGGCGGCGGCGAGGGCACCGTGGGCTACCTGTCCAGCCCTCAGCTGTTCGGGCTGCAGCTGAGGGACGCAACCTTCAGGAGGGACCTGCTGGTGCAGG